GTTCAACGCACCCTGGAGGGCATCATGCATCCTCATCTCCAGACGGTTTGATTATCATCAATGTGGATCAAACGATCAAGATCCAAACATCCACGATAGACCATCAAAATACAAATACACTTGATCTGGCGTAAGCATGGGCTCAGTATATTGGGCCTGGACAAATTCAGAAAGGCACCCCCCATTTGCTTATCATACAAGCCCAAATTCTTACTTTTTTTTATTTTAATTCTTTTTCTTATTATTTATTAATTATGTTTTTTTAATAACACCAAAAATAAATCTTTTTTTTATTTAATAAAAAAACCATAAAAACACCAAAAATATTTTCCCATAAATATTTTATTAATTAATTAGTTTAATTAAATTAGGGTAATTTAATGTCTTTTATTATAATTCAAAATAATTAGATGTAGGGTTTAATTTCATACTTAACCTATTTTTTCCTCAAAAAAACCACACAAATATTTTCTCCAATTAGATTTTTAGGTCGTATAATTCATTTCTCACATTTAAATTGCCGCGCGCGTCCTTATTTTCTTTATTCTTATTAAATATTGTAACTGCTCCCAAGTTGTAATAGTTAAATTAGGTTTAATATTTTGCTTATCATTTTCCCGGTTTTTTGAATATGTAATCCCCTCCCCAAATCCTTGTAATATTTAGGGTTTTAATTTCTTGCTTTTAATTTTCGCAGATATTTAACTGTTTAGATGTATGGATAATAGGCTTGCATGTGAAAGATAAACGATTAAAACAGTAGAAAATCCTAATTGTGAAAAGATAATTAACGGAAAAAATACACTTGCACATGCTCACTCCTAGGTTTTACTCCACTCCGGTTGCCTTCGGTAAACGGTAATAAAGTATAGGGTTTGTTAGTAGTTGTCGTCTATCCCCGAAAGATCTAAAATGACCCATTCAGATGTTGCCTCGAAAAAAGATATTTAAGGCTTTAGAATGATTACTAAAATTTCTTAACATTGCTTTTGTGATCGTACTTGTCCCTTCGAACGTCCCTAAAAAACTCCAACGACGGTGCTACCTATTCCTTAATAATAGGATAGCGCTGTCTAAAGGAAAACGAACGGTCTTTTTCGAGTAGGTAGATTAGTTCCTAGGTACTTGCTCAAACAAACAAACTTTTTCACACCAAACACTTTTTCAAACAAAGTTTTCAAAAACAACTTTGTAACACTCTTGAGGACATAAACAAGGGTTAAAACGAAGTAAAATAAAACTTTTCAAAGCAAAGCACACACAAGCAATTTCAAAATGAGCAAATACCTAAGAGCCCATGGAAAACCATGGATGGAAAGGGTGTTAACACCTTCCCTTTTTATAATCTACCCCCCGTACTCAGAAATATTCTCGAAAAAGGTTTTTTTTTTGTTCTTTTTCCTTTTCCTTTGTTGGATTAAATAAAAGTCGATGGCGACTCTTGCTTACCGCGACATTTGCGAACAAAAAACGCAAACCAGTATAACAGTTGGTTCTGCCACCGTATCACAGAACTGGCGACTCTGCTGGGGATAATTAATAAAGTGGGGTTTACCTTAAGATCTAGGTCATTTTAAAATTGTTTTCTTGTTTGTTTGCTTTATTCTTAAAGGGTTTTGCTTGAGTTACTATAGATCCTACACCCGGATCTGGGGGCACTTTTTTAGGTAAACAACAATAGATTATGGAGACTGTACGTTGTAGACCGATATGGTTTAAGCGATGGTTGTGTTGGTGTGACACTTAGGTTGGTACCAGTATCCTTTGTATGGAAACGAGGAGAATACAAGGCCGCTGCGTGGTGTCGCGAAGCACTAACGGACCTTAGAACCTTAGTTGAACAAACTTGACCATTAGAAAGTAGTGAGATAGCCGACCTCGGTATAGAGCTGAGGATTGGTTGATACTCGATGCTACACTCATTGAGATCAGACTTTCAGGATATTTCAGCCGCAAGAAAAGATTGCTTGAGCTGAAACAATGCCCGATAAAGGATGGTCAGTGATATTGAGAATCTTTAGAACCCAGTTACTTTTCTAAGACAGGTTGAAACCAACTAAACTTCAAGAGGGTACTTACCTTTAACCTCATGCAAGCCTCTAAACCTAGGGACTTAGTGTGATTTGTTTGTGTTTGCTATACCTGTGATTTATCATGACATTATGCATCATAATATAGCATCCATTCTTATTGCACTAACCATTTCAAGGACCAAGGGAATTTATCTTTGTTTTGTTTTGCAGATCATGGCCTCCGTTCGTAGAAACACTATCTGAATCAGCTTTGTGAAGATACCTTCCCAATTCAAAGAGCTAATATCAAAGGTTTCCGAAACTTCTGCGTTCACTAAGAGACATGGTCGACTTCTCAACTTGGTTAATTAAAACTTTGATGAAAAGATGATGAGTGTACTCTTTCAGTTCTTTGATCCCAAGCACCACTGCTTCACCTTTTCAGACTATCAGTTGGTGCCTACCACGGAAGAATTCTCTCAGCTGTTGGATATACCCATTCTTGAACAGTTGCCTTTCACAGGCCTGGAAGAAGTTCCTAAGCTAGAAGTCATTGCCTCGTCTTTGCATCTGAAATGGGCCGACGTGGTATCCAATTGGGAAACAAGAAGCAGATTCAAGGATTTTCTAGCCAAGTTCCTGATAGACAAGGCCCAACTGTTTTGGGATGATATGGATTTTCAGGCTTTTGAGGAGGTCTTGGCCCTTCTAATCTATGGGTTAGTATTATTCCCTAATCCAGACTTAATCATAGATGTGAATGCTATCAAGATCTTCCTCTCTCGCAACCCTGTGCCTACCTTGCTCGAAGATGTTTTGCACACTCTCCATACTCGTACCATGAAGAGAAGAAGGGTGTTTATGTGCTGCATGCCATTGCTGTCGATGTGGTTTATTTCTCACCTCTCTAAGTCCTTACTGAAGAATGAAGAAGGTGTGGGTTGGTCACAAAAGATAATGTCACTCGCTCACATGGATATTCTCTGGTGTTCCTGAGCTATGGAAAACACTGCTATTATTGACCGTTGCGGGGAGTACCCTAATGTCCCGTTACTTGGCATCATAGGGGGTATAACCTATAATCCTTGTTTATCTCTACGACAATTTGGTTATGCTCGAAGGGATGGTCCCCATGAGTTACTTATCGAGGGTATTGTATTCAACTATGAGGATGATGTTCAAGAGTGTCGTCGAAGGTTCATACGAGCTTGGGGCATGGTAAACAGATCTGGCGCCAAGGCTTTGGGGCCAAAGGCTTCCATTCCTTTGGAACCCTATCTCCAATGGGTACGAGCTTGCGCCCAGAAACTTATGATGCCCTATATGGCCGTTCTACCAGTGATTATGGAACCCGCTACTGAAGGGGGTATTCCTTACACGATTCTCTATCCTGGTATGTCCACCGATCTTGGAGAATTACAGAGGTCTTGGATTCAGTTGAAGAAAGAGTGGAATACTTACAGGGATCAGTTCTATGCCCAGGAGAGGAAGGTTTTAGAGCTCACAAAGCAGCTCTATGAGGAAAGAAGACTTAATGGCTATCTCGGCACAAAGAGGAAGCATCCATGAGAATTTTGATTTTTTCTAGTTTTAGATTTGTTTTTAATTGTAACGCCTAAAAGGCATTTGAACTTTGAATTCAACTAATAAAATCTTTGTTTCATTTTGGTTCGCAGATTTAAATTTCCCAAAGTCTTTGAAATCATTGCATGCACATCCCATTCATAACATTGCATGTACATGTACCATTACAGGTTTCTCATCTTCTTAGCTGTTTATTTCAGCAGAAATGTCTTCCGAACAAAGCATCAAGGACCTTCAGGCACAAAACGCCCAGTTCCAGCAAATGTTCATAAATCTGCCAAAAGGACAGGAGGATCTGAAAGCCCTCATCCTGAAAGAGAAAAAGAAAAAGAAGAAGGTTGCCGGTATTCTGAATATAGGCAGAAGGTTTAGAGGTCCATTGAAGCAACAAGTCGATCTGACCTCTTCATCCAAGGAAGGGGAGAATCAAGAAGAAGAGACAAGGGAGAAGGATCCCAGTCCTGAAGTTTCTGACAATGATACCGACTCCAATGATGAGTAGTATCCTCCCATTGAGGATAAATACAAGCAGTTGGAAGATCGCTTGAGTGGTATGGAAGTCTAGAGGATACCTGGGTTGGATTTCGAAGAATTGGGATTGGTGTCGGAAGTGGTCATCCCGCAGAAGTTCAAAGCTCCAATTTTTGCAAAGTATGATGGAGTGTCCTGCCCAAAACTCCATCTTCGCTCTTATGTCAGAAAGATCCAGCCCCACACCGCTGATAGAAATTTATGGGTTCATTTCTTTCAAGATAGTCTATCACAGACTTAGCTTGAATGGTTCTACCAACTGGAGAGAGCCAATGTCCGAAATTGAGAAGATCTGACTGCTGCTTTCTAAAACAAATTTCAACAATACTATTTTTATTCTAAAAACTATTTTATTCTTTTCTTCTAAAAATTAGTTCATACTTATATAAATTAAATTGAATCTTTAATTAATATAAATATATTATTTAAATTTTAAGTAGGACAAATATATTGCTTAATAGTAAGACTATAGTATTTAAATTAAATTTTGTATGTTTACTATTTTAAAACAAAGACATTTATAAGATATTATAATTTTATCATAACTTATTTTTGTATATTATAAATAGTTTTAATATATTTTTGTTTCTTACACATGTTATATATATATATATATAAGCAAAACTCCCCATTGATCAATCAATTACTTCCCTACTCGAGCGCCAAATACACCTTTTTGCATTCTCTCTCTTATTCAATCTCACAGAGGTACATACATACTTAACATAACTATTCAATTTCATCCATCCATGTGCATTTCGGATCTTACCGTTCTGTCTCAATCACCATTTAATTTCCACCATTCCTCACATTGATTGGTTGGTTTGTAATTTTTTCTCTTTGATCTGATTCGTTCTTTCTAGGGTTTATGCCATGGCAGATTCCGAGAGTCCAGCTGCTGGAAACCACGACCATGATAGTGGCGGCGAACAAAGTCCACGTGGCTCTTCTTCCGCTGCGCGTGAGCAAGATCGTTTCTTGCCTATTGCTAACATTAGCAGGATCATGAAAAAGGCTTTGCCTTCCAATGGAAAGATTGCTAAGGATGCTAAAGATACAATGCAGGAATGTGTTTCCGAATTCATCAGTTTTATTACCAGCGAGTAAGACCCATTTTTGCCAAAATGATTTTTTTTTTATCATCTTTTTGATGATGGGTAATGTAAATTTCAGTTTTTGAGAATTGGGGTGTATTGGAATGTGATGAAAGATTGGTGCTTTGTTGATTTATGTTTTAGGGTTTTGTTTTGTTTGTTTGTTTTCTGAATTGGGTGTGGTTGTTTTGGGTGGTTGTAGGGCGAGTGAGAAATGTCAGAAAGAGAAGAGAAAGACCATTAATGGAGACGATTTGTTATGGGCTATGGCTACTTTAGGATTTGAAGACTATATAGAACCGCTTAAGGTCTACCTAGCAAGATACAGAGAGGTAATTTCACTATTTTTTTTCTTCCATTTGGTTAATGTTTGTTTTTGGATGATTCATATACAATGTTATGTTTTGAAGTGAATGGATTCGTTAAGTTAAATTTATTTTGAAATTTTGATAATGTTGTTTACGACTTTGTAGTATTTATCTGACCGACTGTTTGTTTTTGTTTTTTTATTCTCTTGGTGTTTTTGAAATGTTCGCCAATGTCACAGTTAGAGGTTAGTAATCCTCCTCGTTCTCTGATGTATTATTCTGGTTTTTGCCTTGGACTATCTTGATGATGGAAATGCTAATATTTATGAACATTAATTTCTGATAGGGTGACAGTAAAGGGACAACTGTTAGAGGTTGTGATGGATCTGGTAGACGAGATCAAGTTAGCCCTGGAGGACAAAATTCGCAGGTGTGATTGCGGATCTTTTTTTGGATTTGTGTTTTTATTATGGTAACTTGTTGGTTAAAACAAGGTTCAGTTTATAAGCTAATACGTACTTTTTGTTGATGTTGGTTTATGAATATGGCAGCTTGTTCATCAGGGTTCTATGAACTATATGGGTTCCCAGGTAACAAACAATCTCTGTCACTCTTGAATAGATGTTTGCTCTTTTTTTTTAGTGAACATATACATGCTCATATATAAATACTCAATAAGTGAAGTAATGAAATGTTCTTTGCAAAAGATGATTGGGGACGGGAATTTAAAGCCATGGTTAGCTCAACCAATCCACTGAATCAGATTAAATTGATTGGGGACGGGAATTAAAACCCCTTCACTGAAGTTTTATCTTATCAGGCATTATCATTTAGTTTTGAGATCCCGTCTTTTTGACTATTGTGTACCTGATTAATAGGTTACCTACAGCCTCTCTTAATGTTGACATACCTATCACCATGATGCTGGCAAACCTATCGCCGTGATGTTGGCAAACCTATCAACGTGAAGTTGGCATACCTATCACCAAAATGTGTATTTCCCGAGTAGATCTTCCCAAAATAGTTTCACTGTCTTCTCCTGGTTGCAGGGTTGGGTTTGGGTTTTTATCTCTAAGTCCAATTATCTTCCGACATAAGTTTCATTTTCTCATGAGTGCAGGGTTTTTATCTCTTAAGTCCAATTTATCTTAGGATATTTTCTTTCATGACCTCTAGATCTCATGCTCCAAACTCATTTTTAGTCTCTATTCTAATGCTTTTACATGTTATTCCCTCCTCCACTGTACAGCCTAACACTTACACTAATTTCTTCTTCCATTTCTTCGTAGTCACAGAGAGATCTAATCTCTTTCTACTAAACCATTCCTTCCCCATAACATTCACCTGACGTAAGCTATTTTAAAATCTGATTTTGACTGACATGAAGTCATCAAACGTAACAAGACTATCTATGGTTTACAGTAGAAACCAAGTGATTGCTTTAAACACCTTTTCGAGTCTCTGCAAGCCCCTCTATCTTCTTGTCTATGCTGAAATTTAATGTTTATACTGAGTTATTAAGAAGAGTAAGTTTGCCAAGAATTACTGTTAAAGTTAGTTGATCTCCAACATTTATGAGCGTGCACGCCCACACGCCTTGCAATTGCTATTAGTTCAGAAACATCTTTTATGCATCATAATAATTATTCAGATTGTCTTTGACTATTTTCCCTGTTTCCCCCTAATTTTCTTTACCTTCATCAAAACTGTACTAGTACTAGCATTCAAAATCTTAGACAGGCAATTTTGACTACTAGCATTCAAAATCTTAGACAGGCAATTTTGACCGGTGGTTTATAACTTTTCCATGTACTTCCCTTGGATCGATAATAAGGAGCCATTAGGAGACGTTTCACCTCTATGCCCAAAAAACAGTCTAGCTTACCAAGTTGCTTGAGAGGAAAAATCGAGTGTATTTAAAGTGGTAGAGTGGTATCTCTCCACTATCTTGTCATTAATTCTGCCTGGTGTTCTTCTGATTTTCATTTGCATTTGATCTTTGTCACTGTTTTCTATTAGTTGCTGACTTGTTTGTCGCATGTTGTACCTATAATCTAATGCTGCCACTATCTTCATTTTGCTTCCATACATATTCCTTTTAAATAAATTTTGTAATTTCATTTGAAGGATTTGAGAGCTTTGTGGTGGCATATTTCTTAGGACTCACTAACATTTATTAATTTGTTGCTGATTTGCAGGTTCATCCACAACATCTTGTTTTGCCTTCCATGCAAAACCATGAATAGATTAGATGCTTATCTCCATCTCTAGCATTTGCATTTTTCTACCAAAAGAAGCGACAGTTCTCCTAAAAAGGATGTTAAAATTTTGTTCCGGTATTCATGTAGATTGAGTAGAATCATTAATTTTCAGATTTAGATGCCATGCCGACTAAATTTTCAAATTTGGTTCTGCATGTGATTTTCCGTGTAACTTGTTTTGGAGTAGTCGTTTTGAGATCTTTGTTTAGATATTATATAATACTACAAACTGCATTTATTGTTTCATGTAATTTAGGGCAAATAGTTTGTTTCGGCAACTATAATGGAAATGATAGTTGTGGTTTTCTTTTATTCAGTTTTTACAATATATGGTGAAATTTTGAAATTGAAAATTATGGAACAACATATTTTTAAAAGTCAAAAGACAGTCCATTGACAGAAAAGTGAGCCAATCTTTGTAAGACGAAAATCAAATGTGTTACAGTATTCTCCAAAGGTTGAAAGACAATTTAAATAACCATATGATGTTGTTCTTCATTGCTCTATAGGCCTCGTTGGTCCCCACTAACGTTTGGTGTTCTTCATTATAGACATAGTGCTAATAAACGTGCCTGTCAGCCATGTTAAATGCATTGCAGTGTTATGTTGACAAATGTCCCTATCTGCTTGATACTCAATGATGAACTATTTATTTTTATAATTTCACAAATGTGCATATGTGCTTGATACTCAATGATGAATTGGGGGGTAATGTTGGGAGGTTTCTCAAATTCTTTCAACATTTTTATACTACTTCCAAATAAAAAAAATAAATGTCTTATTTGATTTATGCGCGGTTTTTAAAAAAATAATTAGATTTATTGATTTTAATGATAAAATTATATTATTTACTATCATATATTTATTTATTATAGTCAGTAGAGTAGTTGAAAAACGTAAAAATTAATAAATAATATATAATAGTGGAAAAAATAATAATTGTTGTATTGGTATTTTAAAGAGATATTTATTTTGAAATATAGAAAAAATGCAAATGAGATATTTGTTATGAAACGGAAGAAATATTATTTAATCTTTTCTGAACTCCCACACAGGCGAGTAAAATCAGTTGTTAGGGACATTTATTGACCAATAAAAAGACGTGGGTAGAGGAAATGTTATAAGGTTGTAATTAATTAAAATTAGCACAAGAGACTATTAAATTTCAATTCAGCCTGAAAAGAAAGAAAAGTTCAATAAAAGCTATCCACGCCCAACAGTGAGATTCTCCAATTGTTTCTTCCCAACTTTGTAATGGTTTCTTCAAAACTACAAATCTACAACCAAGATTTTTTTAGTGTTGAAGTACTAACATTAAAAAAAAAAACTTTTGTTAATCACAACCAAACTTCTTTCACAACGTGGACCGGCGGCTACTTGGTTGATACACCTTACGGTTTCAAAGGCACTTACTGAACTGGGGAAGCCAATGTGCACTGAAACAAATTCATTCACTGCCTTTTTCATACATCTTCTCATAAATTCTCTTTTAAATTCACATATTTTTCTGTTATATAATGCATGCAAAATTTTAATGAACAGAAAAGCCATAACAGCATAGTAATGCCTTTTCTGTAAGAATACTAGACACCAGCTGATTTTGTAATGATGTCGTCTATTTAAGAGCTTGGATAAGGGTTTTGATATGAAGTAGTTAAGATTTACCATCCAAAAATCAATTAATATGGATAATCTTACTTTTTTTGAAGGAGTAAAAAGATAACACTTTTTTTACTATATTATAACTACTCCATGGCCATCACTGTTTGAAAATATATTAAAAGAGAAAGTTAAAAACTAGTTCCAATGAGTATGAAGACATCAAAGGGTCTAATAACATATTTTTGCACTTACAAATTTCTGAAGCATAGTTAGTAACCCTAACCCATATGAATAGAGCTAACCTCTATCCCACTAAAGTAAGAGAGTAGATACAGACTAAAGAGTTCACAAAGAATCTGTAGATGGCAACTACAATATGGAGCAAGAAATTAGTAAAAAGTATCGCAAACTAAGATGCTGTAACATGATGCATCCTACTACCAAAAGGAAATCTATGAAGAATAACGGATGACCAGATGAATCAACATTCTGGTTACCTCATTTGGCACCCATTCAGTAATAAACTGGTTTTGCAGAATATTCAGTTATATATGTATATATGCTGCCACGGCGTTTTCAGCACTACCTGCAATGAGAGTTGCAAATGTAATTTGTTTTTGACAGAAATTTGCATTTAAAGTAAATGTCAAAAACAAAATAAGTGGCCAGCAACGAGACTACTAAACAAATAATTTTGAAAGAAAACAAGGTATTACTTGGACAAATTTAATTAACGTGATTTTTGGCTTTAAAGATACCAAATGCCAATACCTTGTTTTCTTCCTAGATTAGTCTCATACTGTTGCCAGCCACTTATCCGTTTTGTCTTTCGTAAGAGCAATATTGTCACTAAAATATTCATGACCTAGAAAGGAAACGATTCAATCAGCTCTCAAATCAAAAGCATATTACAGTATGTACTACTACCACATCAGCCATAATAAGTGCACATATCAAAGAATTCAATCCCAAAATAATGCATATGAAAGTTAGGAGTTATTTACCAAATGATTCAGACCATATTAAGCTCAACATTGGAAAGATTAAAATGCATTTCCTCATCCGGCGTTTTGGAAAAAGATGCAGTTTTCAAAAATGCACTTGGTAAGTAGTTAAGCTGGTAATCAACATGACTTCGTCCAAATATGTTGAACTTTTTAGCACTACTGAAAGCAACCTCCGCATCAGCACACTTCTTGAAAACCACTCTTGCCCGGTTAGTTCCTCTATCAATTTCTGTTTCAGATTCCTTTAGAGGTCCAAAATGCTTTAAAACATTATTTAGGCTTGTTTCTGAGAGAACAGAATCCAACTCTGCAAAGTTCAAAACAAGTTCAGCTGGGGATTTCTCATCTATATAACCAGATGGCTTTTCAGGAACCTCAGCATGGTTGCTATCAAAACATTGTTTCTTGGAATATGACCTACGGGTATACACATAAACAGGTTTTTCTTGTTCAGAGATGGCATGCTGCTGATGGTCTAGTTTGCTTCTTCTCTGTGATTTTAGTTCTTCAGAACCATTCTGTATGCAATGTGTGTCTTTCAGATCATCAGCGTCGAGTGTTTCAGGAGATTCACCGATGTGTTGTTTCTTCCTTTTTGTGCTAACTTCATTTGTAGGTAAGATTTCTTTCTCAGAATCATCGGCAATTACGATTGAATTTCTAAAGTCAGAGAAGAAACTCACTATAACATTCAATAAACTATAATCTCCTCTTGGTTCTTGTGCTACACGCTGAAGTAAAGATAGCAAATCATCTAGAGATGAAACCTCTGTAGGAATATTCAAGCTTGACTTCTGAGTCCCCTCAAGATTAGGAGAGAAGGAATCAGATTTATTTCCTGAAAAACTATCTGCATTTCCATCTGCCGTCTGAGATCTGTTCCCAGAACATTTCAATAAAGACGGCCCCCCAGTAAGTTGGCTAGCAACCCTACGGATACATTCACCAATTTTAAATGATTGTATTGTGGTGTTTGAACTTTTTTCAAGGGAAATAGTTTTTTTTCTGCTTTTCATCCCTGAGACATCAGCGTAAAGATTAATCGTCTTTCGTTTCTTGGAAAGCACAGGGTACGGCATATTAGCAATGGCCTTGTCATTCTGATAATCACCATGGGTAGAATCTGGAGTCACACTTGCTCGTTCTAACAAGCTTTTCTTTTTTGCTGGATAGGCATCATCCTTGAGTTTATGTTTACGCTTGCGACGGGAAAGGTTTGTGGCTTTTGAATCTCCAGTACCAATTTGATCGCCAATTTCACCCACATGAATTGTGTGTTCATTAACTTCACTCAATCTTTTATCAGCATCGTTAATTGAAAGGTTGATATCATTGTCCAAACCTCTGAAATATTGGAATTCAGACAAGTAAGAGTAACCCTTTAAACGATAGAACGCAAGTAACTGAGCCTTAGCTATTAAAAGCTCCAATCGATCAAAGCCTCCAGTTGGAAACTTGGACAAATCTTTCAAGTATTGCATAAGCTTCTCAGGTAAAAAGGAGCTAACACTTAAAGCCTCGTCAACTCTGTTTATGAAACTTGGCTCTTGTTGAATCCCACAGTTTTCTATAGTCTGGTGTTTAATCTTCTCATAAGTATCTTTCGGTATGCAGGAACATGCCAGCCCAAATTCTACTCGTCTTTTGACTTCATCCAAAGCAGAATCTACAGCAGTCTGGAACACTTCCGAATTTTTATTCTTTTCAATATAAGGGAAATGTGACCTAAATGACTTCAGCTTAGACGCTTCATTCCACGCATATGTCCCATCCCCATAATACGCTACCAAATAGCGGTTCTTTCTAAAATGCTTCATTGCCTCTGCAGATGAATCCAACGGATCAAATATTTGTCCTGGCCACCACGGGTGACTTCTCACCTTCCCCCAAACCAAATCATTCATAGAAAACTTCCCTTCTTTTTCTACCGGAAGCTGATAACTCGCTTGATAACTTTTTCCCGAACTCTTCATGGAGACATGCTTTATGACTTTTCCATCTTTTGCTTTTACTTTTACTTCTTCGGCATCACTAAATTCTAGCTCTTCATGTGAATCAATCTTCTCAGAAATGCCAACTTTGCCTGCATCGAACTCAACCTCAACAACATCACGCATCACTTCTTTCTCCAATATTTCACTAACAACCACTTTCTTCTCATCCAATGTTTTCAAAGCTGCTTCATTTCCACTCATTTCAATCATCTCATTCTCAATGTTACCTTCTAAGAACCTCACATCTTGAGAACCCTCAAACACAGAAACTCCTTCAACAATAGGATTCACGTCTTTAACTACCTCAATTGATCCATCAAAACCCAAATCATGATTCAAATCAGCATGACTTGCCCCCAAAACACCATCTATATGCAAATCATCAATCTTGTCAGAAATGCCAACTTTCCCTTCATCTAACTCAACCGCAATAACATCACTCATCACTTGTTTCTCCAGTATTTCACTAACCACCTTCTTCTTCTCATCCAATATTTGCAAAGCTGCTTCATTTCCACCCAGCTCAATCTTCTGACTCTCAATATCTTGAGTAGAAACTCCTTCAACAACAGGATTCACATCCTCAATTGATCCATCGAAACCCAAATAATGATTAAAATCAGTATCAGTTGCCCCCAAAACAGCATCTAAATGCAAATCAGAACCCAATACCCCAATCAAAGATCCATCCATGTCTATAGAATTATCTAGGGTTTCACTTTGACGAGCCATGCCCATAAACCAACTACTCTGAAACTCTAAACGTATAATAAGAGTTATAAATCTATGGTTAACATGTTAGTGTGAAGTAAGAACCAAATACGAAGCAGGTAAAGGAAACTGCATAAAATGGAAGGAAAGTAAAGATTGGATTCTGATGAAAAAAGTGAGGAAGAGGAATTGAATACCAGGTTAGATCGCGGGGAAGTGAAAGCACGGTTGAATTGAATTTGCGTTTAATTTTATGACTAATTATTAGATTTGTTTCAGGGGAATTTATTTCGGAAACATATATTACTTAAATACCACGAACGCGAATGGATATACTACAGTACATTTTTATAGTTTAAGAGTGTCTAAAAATCTAATTTAGTTGCACCATATACAAAAGAAAAAGTACCGAACCAAAAGCGATTTGAACTGCTTAATATTTTTTTTCCAATCAAATTTAAATTGGTTATTAATTATTTTAAAATAAAAAAATAGAAAATATTATTTTTTCCGAAAAGAAAAATATTTTTTCAAAATTAGAAAAATAAAAATATATAATTTTTTCTAGTAATAAAAAATTATATTTTTTTAATTTTTCTGGAAAAAATATGATTTTAAAAAATTAATCATAAAAATAAAAAATATATGACAATAAAATATTTAGCTAAAAAAAATAAAATTTTGAAAATACAAAAATTGAAAAAATTTAGTTTTGAAAAAATTTAAATTATAAAATTGATTTATAAATACGAATTGATTATAAATTAGTTTATAAACACAAACTAATTCAAAATTGATTTTAAACTAAACTAAAATCATTTTAATGGTTAATTGTATTTTTATTGATTTAGTTATTACAAACAGAACTAAACTATTAAAGTTTGATTTAATACAATTCATGAATTATGAACATCTCTATTATAATTCTTGATAATTTTACTTTATTCTCATATATTCCAACAATTTTAAAAATATTTTAAATTTGTCTGTTTTTAATTTTTACTATTTATCTGAGTCAAAACGACAAGTGTGTATTCCATTCATGCGAACCTAATAACGCAAAATTTCGGTATGTTAATATTCTTATTCAGAAAACTTTGTTTCATTAAATCTTATTCATATTTTACACCAATCGGAGATAACTTGGCAAACAGAAATCCAGTTTACTATTTCTAACCGATAACGTGCATCTATGTTATCCAGGTCACTATTTTCACCAATCGAAAATTCTTCGTCCCTCTTTTTCGGTTTTGACTTATTTATCAACCAAATTTCTTTGTTAATAGTTATCCGATACATATTTTTTTAAATACATTTAACATGTATGAATATTCCTTTGATGCTACGCGATAAAAATCAAACATGCGTCCATACCACTGAAATATTTTTAACGACACAAATATTTGTTACAAGAGAAGAGGCGACAAGGTGGATTAGGGGGGTTGGAATCAAGAATAAAGTGACAATTATAATAACTCGTTCAGATACCAAAACAAGCAAGAGAGGAAGAAGTGTCAAAGTAATATTTGATTGTGATGGAGGTGTAAAATACAAAGAAGGAGATAGTGAAACACAAAGTACTAGTAATAAATGTGGTTGTCCTTTCAAAATTAGGTCAACACCGTCAAAAGATAGTTATGGATGGAAGATTGATGTAAAATATGGACTTCACATCTATGGTTTACCTGATACATTTGAAGGCCACACGTTTGTAGGTCGACTAAATGCAGATCAACATCAACATATTGTTGATTTGATAAAGTGTCATGTTCCACCAAGACACATACTATTGTCATTGCAAGAGCGAGATCCGGAGAATGTCACTCAGATCACGCAAATATATAAACATAAGAGTAAGTTACAGAAAGATATAAGGGGACATAGAACGGAAATGCAATAATTGTTTAAGCTGATAGAGGATTCAGATTATGTTTACTGGAGTAGGAAAAAAGGTGAGTCTGAAGTTGAGAGAGATATTTTCTGGGCCCATCCAGAATCAGTGAAGTTGTTGAATATGTTTCCTATTTTGTTGATTATTGACAACACATACAAGACAAACAAGTACAGGAAATCTCTGTTTGAAGTAGTTGGTATGACATCAACTGAGTTAACATTTATTGTTGCATTTACCTATAAGGAATCTGAGTAGACGGGATTTTTTTGTTGGGTTTTGGATAAGTTGAAATAATTGTTTACTAGGCAGGGGGTTTTGGCCATAAGTGATTTGATTGATAGAGATCTTGCTCTGATGAAAGCAATTGAAGTAGTATTTCCAAAGACAATTAATTTGCTTTGTCGATTTCACATCAACAAAAATGTGAAATCACAGTATAAGGAATATGTTGTGGATGATATACGAGTGTCGATAGAGAATATGTGGTATGAACTTATAAGGGCTAGTGATGAGGTGGAGTACCATTAACGGTTGCAACATCTTGAGCATGTATGTGTTGACTTTACATCATTTCTTGATTATGTGAAAGACACATGGTTGACTCTGCATAGGCATAGGTTTTTTGAAGCATGGATCAATCAAGTGTTGCATTTGGACAACACCACGACTAATAGATATGTTTGATTTTAGACATAGCTTGTTTATCTTAACAAATACTTACGTTTTTTTATTTATCTTAAGGGTTGAATCATCGCATTGGAAACTGAAGCTGACGATGGAGAATGACTTAGGTGATATGTGAAAATGATGGGAGGTTGTGAATGACAATATCAAGATACAGTTGGACAATATTAGAGCTTCATTTCAAAAGAGTTTTTATAAAGTTGAGCATGCACGCACTAGTCCATTTTATGTGAATTTGCGTGGATCGGTATCAAGAGCTTCTTTGAGGCATATTTTTGAAGAGTGGTTGAGGGTTGAAATTGTGGGTACAAACACTCAAAAGTGAGGGTGTGCTCGTAGAAGAGTATATGGTTTACCTCGTGCTTGTGAGTTAGGTAGATACACATTGTGTGAAATTGCTTATCCAACTACAACAAGGATGTGCCCACCGCCTGAAAAAATAAAAACCAAAGGAGGGGTGAATAAGAAAGAGAAGAAACCCATGGGATACGATATTTACTATGACCCTTCATATCATGAGTCGGTTGATTAAGCACACCCGAGTTCCCAAAAATATTTAAAGAGGTCATGTTCACAGTTATCCCAAACATCAAAGAATAAACCATCTAATAATTTCATTGTACAATTTCCAGAGTATATCAGACCATTTATTGATGACATTATTAATGTCGGGAATGATGGAAATGGTGGGTTTAAAGTCATTGCATCATTGCATGGTTATGATACCGATGAATGGTCAATTGTTCACCGTGAATTGGATAATGAAATTAGAGGTCCTAAAAATAATATCTATGAGAAGTTATATGGAGATCGCCTTTCAGTAGTGGGAGAATCGTTGATGATATCATCTTTAGGGACTTAACCACCAGAGAAATGGATGAAGTTACCAAATATGGATTATGTAATAGCTAATCGGTATAATGTCATTCTTGTCTCTTTGGGTTATCCTAGTTTGACTTTCTTTCCTATGACGATTTTACATTCACGTAGTGTTTCCATTTACTGCATTGGATTTGTAGACGAAAATCATTGGGTTCAGGTAGTTAAATTTTTAAAATTGTTAAGTTAATTACTTATTTTTCACTCATGCCTTACTTATTTTTATTTTAATGATAATTTTTTAAATAGGTAAACATGAATGAAGGATTTCCGTTACCACCCATCACATTAGATTGGAAGAAATTTCTCACAAAAGATGTGACTTCTTGGATGGTAGGATTTGTGAGACGGTTACAACATTGGCAACGCCTTACATCTGTAGTTTCACAATATATTAGATTATAATTGTAACGTGATTGTTATATTTTGGATTATATTGGCATTTAAATTCATTTTATATTTTAAATTATATTGCATAAGTCTTAAAAATAGAAGAGAAGTATCAAAATACATGAGTATCATAATAATACATAAGTCTCAAAATAATAAGCAAGTCTCAAAATAATACACAAGTCTCGAAATAAACAAGAAGTAAAGAAGATCAAGTGTCAGAGTCATAAGTAATTGCTTTGCGCCTAAGTACTTGTCCTCCCTGAGCTACACGTAGTGACAGGAAAATCTCAGCGAACTCACTATCCTCCTCATCTGCCTCGTGATGTAGTAAGTAACAATGAAGCTCATGTGAAATATATGACAACCTCTGATCTGATGGTCCTCCATCATAGGTAAAAACTGGGACCTCTCTCACCTCATATCGTGGTGGTGCTATCAAACGAGGATGTGACACCCTACAATACCAAGCCAAGTAATCATCATCCACATCATATGGCCAGTTGGCGAAAACTACCTCATGAATCACATCTAAAATGCTCGAAACATATCCAACCCAATCAACATCCATATCAAGTGTGTCAGCATCAGAAGGTGGATGTGGTATGTATTGTCTATATCCAAACTGACACAAACAAAATGGAAGTGGGCATGGTTATTAAAAAGTAATATGGAGGGTATATGAAATTAAAAACAAAATGCCCAAACAGAAAGGTCCAAACGCCTGTATAAATAAAGTGTTGTTGGCTTGTGATGATGCACCATAGTCTTACTCATGTGGAGCGCTGGATCTTTGCTATTTGCATATCTGATGGTGATGGTATAAAGCCCATGGTAGGCGCGTGTGGCTCGTATGCATGGAATATGAACTAAGAAAATGTGAAGAAAAAAAATAAAAGGGTACCACTGGGGCTCGAACCCAGGTCCCTATAGATCAAAGCCTTACGCGTGCACTTTCTTCCACTGGGGTGGCATGTACATCCAGTATTAGAACAAAAATTATTAAATTTAAAATAAACCAAGTTCTGAACATGTCATCTTCTTCTTCCTCGCGCCAGAAGCCACTGTTACATATTTGAATTTTATAACTTCTTCATTTCTCAACCATTTTCAAAAATATAAATATGAAAGTTGCTTCATTTTTCACAACGAATCCAACCATGTAAATAACTAAAGCTAT